TATATATATATATATATGACAAAATAAAAGCTTTCTGAGGTCCTGTGATAGGCAAAACTCTAAGATGGCTTCAAGATTACTGCTCCTCTAGTTCACATACCTCACAAAGTCCTCCTGAGAACAGGTGAAACTGTGACAAGGTTACCAATCTACCAACTTTGAGTTAATAAAAATTATATTATCTGGTGAGCTTGACCTAATCAAGAGACCCTTAAAATGAGCTGAGCCTTTCCTCAAGTCAGAAATATTTAAATGGTTAGAGTCTGGGAGATAGGAACACATGGTAAGAAACTAAGAGTGGCTTCTCCTAGTTGAGAATAGTTTCCAAGGAAGACTGGCAAGGAAACAGGGACTTAAGTCACATATTCACAGGAAATAAATGCTGCCAACACTCAGTGACCTTTTAAGTGAGTTTTTCCCTAGTTGGGCCTCCAAATAAGGACATACTTGTCCTGCCTTGATTTCAGGCTTATGAGACAACAAGTAGAGAGAGGACCTAGTTAAAATATGTCTAACACCTGACCTACAGAAATTATGAGATAGTAATTTATTTTATGCCATAAGCTTATGGTAAAGGAGTTCCTGTAGTGTAGTGAATTGGCATTTGGCTGCTAACCAGAAGGTCAGCAGTTGAAACCCACCAACTGCTCCATGGAAGGAAGATGGGACAATCTATTTCCATAAAGATTTATAGCCTTGGAAACCTAATGGTGGTCACCATGAATTGGAACACACTCAATGGCAATGAGTTTTTTTCTGTTTTTCTTTTTCAAGCCTGTGGTAATGTGTTACTCAGAAACAGAAAATTAATATAGTGATAACTTTGGTAACTATTAAGAATATACATTCCCTGAAATGGAAAATTTTAGGAACCTCAGCTTTTGAAGAGGTTAAGATATATATATATTATATATACATATATAATATATATATATATATATATATACACGTATATATATATATTTAAAGTAGAGTGTATTTTAAATGAAATTGCTGAAGGGAATTCCTAGACTTGCATCCAATTTCCAGAGGCAAATCAGAGGGTAAAGGTGTGTTTGGGTGGGTATAGGGAACTGTGAGAGTAGCTATAGATTTCCAAAATGTAACCACGTTATAATTTGAATACAAAATTAAGTAGTGAGTACAGTATCTAATAACAAGTATAGTAAAAAATGAAAAATCATTGGTATGTTCTTCTGTTAGTGGGGGAAAAAAATGCTCAATAGACCTTAAAATATCAGTATGAAAAATCTTTTTTGGAAAAGAAAACAAATAAACATTTTTTTATTTGGCCACAAAAGTGATTATAAGCTCTGTATCAACTTTCCTACCTCATTAATCATATGAACAACAAGATTCATATCTTTTAATGCGTATCTTATTCTCTTTCTCCATTAAAAGGCACCAGGGGTGATTCCACATTTGAGTAAGGAAACTCAGGAAGAGTACAAAACCTTCTATCTTTATGAGAAACAAGGATAATTTCAAAGACATCAGGAAGATGAGTGAGAGAAGTCTTGTAAAAGGGACACTGTCAGCCACATGGTGACAATGTGAACTGCCCTATCTCTACAATCCCCATAAGAACACCCCACCCTCAAGAAGTAAACATGTATCTTTCATTAAGATCCTGTTTCTCTTTGAAAGTGACAAAAAAATGTTGACTGGAAGACCTGGTGTCAGAAATAGGTAAAAGTAAATGCTTCTAATTCCTTCTCAACTCTCTTTGCTGCCTTGGATAACTTGAGTTTCTAAATCACAAAACTGACCTTCATGTGTGGATAAATGTGAGAATAGTTGTGTTTGAGTATAGGGAAGGAGAACATTTAAGTAGTAGAAATATAGCAGAGGAAATTCACTGCAAATTCAGTAACCATATAATTAATCATTCAAACCAGGACACTTTTCAGAATAACAAGGAAGCCATTAATAATTACCCTGGGAAAAAGCTTCAATCAGCACTGTCCTGGGTAAATAGTGAGGCATGTCACCAAGACTATAAAGAATATGAGACCCAGGAGGTCAGTGACCTTTCCTAATTTATCTCTGTGTTCCTGGTGAATAGCTTGTAGTACGTGTTTAATTAACATTTGTTCTATTAAGAGCTGAATTAAAATGATTATCAAAGACAGCTAAGCATTAATTCTTTTGTTTTTTTCCTCTTTTTTATTCTGGTTTATTCTTAGTAAACCATGTATTTTACAAATTTTACATTGGTCTAACTACTTCTTTCTATGCATGATAATTTATTGTGAACAATAAACTAAGATTGTATATTAAATATGTCTGAATCAAATAGCACTCTAAATAATACTATTGTTTTATTTTTCTGTTTATTCACATTTAGTATGAAGCTTAATCAAAGGCTTAACCACTTGTCTTGTACCTAACAGAACAACAATCTCCCTTTTCAAGACTGTTGTTTGAGAACACAGTATATTTATCATAAACACTATTTCCCAACATCTAATTAGAACTTTTCAATGTCAGTGTATGGAATAACAGTGATGTTTTTGAACACAGGCATATATATATATATATATATATATATATATATATATACACACACACATTTATAACTACATATACATATATATACACACATTTATACCTACATATACATATATATAATACATATATATGTTGTTGTTGTTGTTGTTATGTGCCGTTGAGTCGGCCCCGACTCATAGCGACCCCTCCTTGGGTTTCTGAGGCAGTATCACTAGGGAAGTAGGATTGCCCAACCTTCCTTCCGAGGAGTGGCTGGTGGGTTTGAACGGCCAGCCATCTGGTTAACAGGCAAGTGTCTTAGCCACTATGCTACCAGAGCTCATATATATACACATTTATACCTACATATACACATATATACATATATATATATATATATACACACACATGTATATATATACACATATATATACATATATATGTGTGTGTGTATATATATATATATATATATATATATATATATATATCCCCTTAGCTGATATCTGAAATTTTATAAAATATGATCATTAATGAAAAAAGCAATATTTACCATCTAATCCCGCAGTTATGTTTCAGCATGTCACATAAAAATGCTTTTCCATTATTAAATTTTAAAGAAATGTAATTTGCATATATCTGTAATCTAAGAGACGATGATATAATTTAATATGTTAAAATGAGGATGCTATTGATATCAATAATTAGAATGCCTACCTAATCTGGAAAATACATGTGTTACTCACCTTTACAACTTGATCTCTCCTCTCCTATGTTCCATGTTCCATTAGCTTGGCACTGGATGAGTCTTCTTCCTTCTAAGTAGTAACCAGGACTGCAGCTCAGCACTACTTGAGCTCCATACTCATTCCGTGATCCAGAAACCAGTCTCCAGATGACATGTTCTGAGAGCTGAGCTTCAATACTAGGGCACGTTACCGCTAGAGAAGAAACATACTTAACATCATAATTTTTTCTCAAGGAATTAAACCATGCTTAATTATAATGGTAAGGGCCAGCTATATGAAACAAATCTTGTACACATTATGTCAGGCTTTGTTTCCTGTCCAAATAGTCACATATTATGTATTACATATTACATTAGATTTTTTTCCTCCTATCCAAATGGTAACAAAGGAATGATAACATATGTAAAAATGCATTGCATTCAATAGTCTCAATACAGGCAATCTTGCAGTCAGATTGAGATTTAGAGGAATAATAATCTTACACAAAGTTAAACAATTCATCTGGGATCTACGAAACCCTTTGTGAGATAAATGAGCTCAGGCATATAAAGATCTTACATATAATTTATCTCAATATCCTCTGAGAAACTTGGAATAGTAATTGTGTAATTGAAAACCAGTTTCAGGAAATCAGATACCTACCTTCACTCCTTTCAATATAAGACACCCATATGTAATATACTTCACATGTTACTAGATTTATAAGCAATACACACATACACACACACACACATTGGACTAACACAGTCAAGAAAAGTATTTAACAATCCTTAAACCAGATAATCTACGCATGCCTTTAGGGTAAGGCCTAGAATATTGTTGTTTAGTGCCCTGTAATTGATTCTGACTCATAATGACCCTGCAGGACAGAGTAGAAATCCCCACAAGATTTCTTCAAAACAAACAAAAATCACTGCTGACAAATTGGTACTGACTGATAGCAACCCCTCCTGGGATTTCCAAGGCAGTATCTCTATGAAAGTAGATTGCCCAGCCTTCCTTCCGAGGAGTGGCTGGTGGGTTTGAACCATCAGCTTTCTGGTTAGCAGTCAAATGCCTTAGGCACTACACTGCCAGAGCTTCTTTTAGTAATAGTAGTAGTATAGTACAATATTACTAGTTGGACTTCAAGGGGTTTATAAATATGCTGAAAATAAATATGGAACTTTGGATATGTGTGTATATGTGTATTTATCAAAAGAACCAATTCTCTAAATAAATTGAAATTTCATTATCTAGCGTCCATCACAATCAGCTACTCCAAAAATGGACCAGTTTTTTAGGCCTGCAATAATTGCATTATTTACATTTAAATTCTATATAAGTCCATTGCAATTACTTCAGATGTATCCAAAATGTTACAAGGATTTCATCTAGTCTTCTGTCAATAATTTACCAGTATAATATGCAAGTAAACTGAGAAAATAGGCCGTTTTGATATTATACAAACAGTAATAGCAACAAGATTTAAAATGTAAAAGAAACTTGCTAATTTAACATTAATATTTAGATATATTTTCCTTAGCTATAGTTTAGATAAAGCAATTATTCTAAATTCACATGGATAACAAATGTTTTAATTATCGATATTAATGAAATTCTTCTCAAAGTAGAAGTAACTTTCAAATTTCAGGCAAGATTTCTATTCATAAAAATAGTCTACAAAGTCTTTTCAACTTATAGACC